TAGGCCCGCCAAGGCCCAGGCGGCCATTGGTCCGAGGCGCCTCAGGCGGGCCCAGGCCTAGGACCCAGCTTCTCATTGGCTGTCGCTCGAACTCCTGGAGTGTGGCACTTTCTGATTGGATGCGGGTTTGGCGGGAAGGCTGTGAGGGCGAGGAAGGCCGAGCGCGGTCGGGTGTTCGGGAGCCTTCTCCGACTTGAGGTTGGAGCGGCTGGGGCACCCGCCTGGCCGGGGCACCGGATGTGACCCTGCACGGGAGCACCCGGCGGCATGCGAACGACTTGATGTCCCCCTTGTGCGGTCAGCCCCTCGCCGGGCACCTCAGGCCCTTGCCTCCCTGCTTCTTAGGCCTTTTGCAAACACCGCCACCTCCCAGAGGTATGGCCGACATCCACCCTAGGTCTGCACCCTCTCACTTTTCCACCCCTTTCCGGTGCAGAAAGGCCTGTTCCGGCCAGCACCCTGAAATTGGGCGGGATTTTAATGAGGAATGGGTGTCCTGGGACAAGGGGGTGGGGCGGTGCCCATTTGGGAGGACTTTGGAACAATGACTTGATTCTCCCATTCCGTAAAGATCGACTAACCTCTCTTTAGGATCCAGTGTGTGGTTTTTTTTTACTTCTGGGAAAAGTGGGGGCAGAGGGACCCAGGCTCATCGCCATAACGCAGCACTCCGTTCTGGCGTGCCAGCCTCACCCTTCACTTCTCCGTGAAGGAGCGTGGGGAGCCCGCCCCTGACATGGGCCGTTCCTGTAGACTTGGGGAGCCTCAGAATCGTGCCATCAGGTCTGCCCTGGGGAGGGTGGCATCGGCAATAGGAGGAAGGGGGTGGAGGAGGGTCAGAGAACCAGGGAAACGAGGAGAAACCCGCCCTGCCTTTTCTCCCCATGAGAGTGAATCTTTCTGTCTCGTTTAGCTCGGGGCCGCCATGACAAAGTACACAGACTGCCTGGCGGGCGCGGTCAGCGGTTGCGGGTCGACCTATGAACCAGGAGGTCCCGGTTCTATCCACTGGGGGGTTGCAGGCTCGATCCCCAGTGTGGGGCGTGCAGGAGGCAGCGGGTCAGTGATTCTCATCATTGATGTTTCTATCTCTCCCTCTCCCTTTTCCCCTGAAATGAATACAAATATATTTAAAAATAAAACCGGAACTCCTTTCTTTTTTTTTTTTTTTTTAACTCCTTTCTTTAAGCAAACAAACCAAAACCAAAACAAAATACCACAGACTGAGTGGTGTAAACAACAGGAATTATTTTCTCACAGTCCTGGATGCTAGAAGTCCCAGATCAAGGTCGGGGAGCATTGGGAGGGCTTGCTTTCTGTCTTGCAGTGTCTTACTGTGTCTTCACATGAGAGGACAGGGAAGAAAACAAGCTTTCTGATGCCTCTTCTTTTTTCAAAAAATATATTTTTATTTATTGACTTCAGAGAGGAAGGGAGAGGGAGAGATAGAAACATCAATGATGAGAGGGAATCATGGATCGGGCTGCCTCCTGCACGTCCCACACTGGGGATCAAGCCTGCAACCCGGGCATATGCCCTTGACCAGAATCAAACCCGGGACCCTTCAGTCTGCAGGCTGACGCTCTAACCACTGAACAAAACCAGCTAGGGCTGATATCGCTTCTTATAAGGACACTAATCCTATTGGATCATAGCCCCACCATTACGACCTCATTTAACCTTAATTACCTCCTATCTCCAAATACGGTCACTTTGGGGGTCAGGGCTTTTAAGATATAAACTGTGGGGAGGGTCATAATTCAGGATGTAGCATTCACTTTACTCAGGACGTCAAGCACACCATGCACACAACTAATTGTAGCCTGTATCAGGTTGTGTTTTTAAGTACCATTTATTTTTCTGATTATGAAAATAACACATACTTAGAGTAGAAAGTGTGGAAATGCAGGAACGTTAAAAACATTAGCATTCATAAACCTTCAGGCCTCCAGTTTTTAGTATATCCATGTAATTATGCAACTATTACCATAATTTCAGAATATTAAAAATATGTTTTTAAAATTTTTTAGAGAGAGGGAAACGTCAATCCATTGCCTCCTGCACACACCCAACCCCGTATTGAACCCATAACTTTGGTATGTGCCCTGACTGGGAATTGAACCTGGGAACTTTTTGGTATACAGGACGATGCTCTAACCAATTGAGCCACACTGGACAGGGCAATTTTAGAACATTTTGTCATCCCAAATTTCACTCTTTTTTATTGCCTTTGTATGGATATACCATGTTTTATTTACCCATTCTTCAGTTGGTGAGCATTTGCCCTTCGCAGATATTAATAATGCTGCTGTGAACATTTGTGTACAAGTTTTTGTGTGGACATATGTTTTTATTTCTCTAGGACTGGATTTGCTAGGTCATATGGTAACTCCATATTTAACCTTTTGCAAAACTGATTTTTTTAATCCTGATTTTCTTACTTAATATTAATCTTGTGCATTTTCACAAATTGCTCACTGTACTTTGAGCACTTGGCTTTCCATGTTTGCAAAGTTCCAAATCTTAGAAACCAATCCTCTCTTATTTGGCATTTAAGTTATTTCCAATTTTCATGATTATAAATAGCATTACTTCTGTAGAGCCGATTAGTTAGACCACCGGATCAAAGGACACAGGCAGTTAAGGCTCTCAGTGCCTATTGATAAATTGCCTTCCCCAAAACGTTGTGACAGTCTGCATCATGGCAAGTTGAGTTTGGGAATGCCAGTTGCACACCGCCTTCTATTTTAATTGTCTCCCATGGTAAGTCCCCAGAGCAGAGACTTGTTTGGGCAACTTTGGCCCCATGCCCAGCTCAGTGCGCGGCACATAGTACAACTTCGCGTCACAGGAATGAGGGAGAACAACGGAAGGCCCCCGTTCGTGCAGTGGTTGGGGATGGAAAGGAGGATACAGGTGTCTTGAGTCATCGTGAAGATCGGCTCCATGAGACTTACCACCTGGTTGACATGGTGACTCAATGCAGACTCAAGTGGTAAGAACACATTGTGAGGCTGCACTCCACAGTCATTTAGGGGCCGACGCTGGTAGGGACGGTCTCCAGACTGCCAGTAACTCTTTTTTGTACTCCACTCTGCCGGCATCAGTCTTTATGCAAAGCCCTGGAAGAATTGCCTTCACTGAGCTAGTGAGGTCTTCAAACTCTCTGTGCACCTGGATACCCTTGAGGAGAAACCAAGGATCACTTTCTGAGAACTTTTTTACTCACACACACGAGGTCTTGAAGAAGCTCCTTAGGACAGCTTCTTCCCTATGGATGACAGTGGTATCACTCCCCAAACTATTAAAATCAAGAAGAGAAGGGGCTCCAGGGAGGCTTCTAGGGACCTGCTCTGTTTGTTGAGCTGGGGGCTGATTATTAGACATACGCTGTTTGTGAAAATTCACTGAGCTCTGCCCTTAATCTATATGCACTTTTCAGCATAAATGTTGCTTGTAGATAAAAAAAAAAAAAAAATGAAAAACGGGCCGGGGAAAAGAGAGGGTCTGTCATCTCATTCTGTTTTCACAGTGATCCTGGTTGATAGATATTAGCCCCATTGCACATAAAGATGAGACTGAGTTCTGGGGCAGGTTTTACGAGAACTGTAAGGATTCAGAAGTATTTCCCTTAAAGCTGAGGATAAAATCTGAGTCAGATTAGATTAATGGTAACAGTTAAGGAACAGGGAAATAGAACATTGCATCTAGATTAGTGTTGGTCTCTAATTCAGGATCCAAGATCCCATATGATGGGCTCAGGACTTGGTTCCAGGCCTGTCTGATGGCAAATCCTGTTCTATTTTTATTATATAAAAGCTTCTGAAAATAAACATGCATTGGTTTAAATAAGCATGTACTTTGGCAGGGCAATTTTATATATCATTCCATTTTTTTAGAGTGATAGAATCCAGTGCTGACGGGAATTCTCAGAGTAGAGGGAACATGGTCATGGCAAGCTCTTTCTGGCTTTGGAGTCGAAGAGACCAGGCATTTAGGGGCAGAAGGAAAGAATAAGGATGTTCAAACCAGTTGTCCCAAGCCTGAAGGACTGAAACTGTAAAAACCTATCTCTGGAAAGACTTTGACTCAAGTCTGGGCTTAAATAAATCAGGGTGGAATAAGCAGTGATTTGTGACAACTTTCTTTTAATAATTCATATTTGGGGATTCTCTCCTTAATGTTAATTGCCTTAGAAAAGAGTGACATTTGTTTTTATATTAAAAAAGGCAAAATTGAATGAAAACGGGTCCCAGTTTCCCTCACAGCCACACAAATGAGTCTTCCAGCACCATGATTCGCCTGCAGGCAGTACAGGGAAGGTGGGGGAGGGGGCTGCCTTGCAGGTGCTGCACCAGCAAATCCAAATATTAGTGAACAGTAAGCATTGTGCCTCTTGAGCTACTTATGCTCTCTCAGCCCATGAAGAGCCCAGGCAGGGGTCGGAGGGGAGGCCACAGCAGTACCTGCAGTCAGGCCTGGGAGTGGAGCCAGAGTGGCATTATGACCTACTTTCAGGCCTGGTGTGGGACTCAGACTCAGCCACACCATGTATCCGGGCAGGGCACTCTATTTCTCTAGGCCCCACTTTCTTCCACTAACTATACCTCAGGGCTCTGGGGAGGCTAAGATGAGATTTGTGAAAAGTTCTTACAGAGAAATCCAGCAGTTCCAGGGCAGACACTGGATTATCCCGGACAGACTTGAGGACACCCAGGCAGCCTTCACTTCGCATGGGATTCCTGGACATCTAAGAAATACACACACATAAAACTGAGAAAAGCTGACCCTAGGGAGGCTGGGAGAGCACCCCAAAAGGGAAGATTGGGGGTTCCGTGTCTCTGATGATGTGCCTCAGGATAGCCCCACTGTCTCAACTCACAAGGTGTCTCCATCAGACAGAACGCCCTGGGTGAGGCTTCAGGGCCAGGGAAGAGAGGAAATAGACACTGAGCACCTACCCAGTGCCTGGCTCTGCCACGTGCCAAGATGCAGACACACAAGACACACTCCTGCCCTTAAAGAGCTCACCCACTGGGGGAGGAGAGGAAAAAGAAACATCATAGCCCTGACTGGTTTGGCTCAGTGGATAGAGCGTCGGCCTGCGGACCCAAGGGTCCCAGGTTCCATTCCGGTCAAGGGTATGTACCTTGGTTGCGGGCACATACCAAGTAGGGAGTACGCAGGAGGCAGCTGATCGATGTTTCTCATCGATGTTTCTAACTCTCTATCCCTCTCCCTTTCTAAAAAAATCAGTAAAATATATTTTTTAAAAAAGAAACATAAAAATGCAGTGTGATAAGTGCAATGAGAGTGAGTGTGAGCCAACTCTACCTGGGAGGTAAAGGTTGGGTGGGTGATCAAATAGCTGAGCTGAGCTTTACAGATGAGGTGGGTGGAGCTGGGCATTTCAGCAAGAAGAGCAACAGGGGCAAAGAGAAATAAGAAAATGCACAGAATGTCTGGAGAATTCTAAGGAGCTTGGGTGAGATAAGTACATTTCAAGGCAGGAGGGAGAGGCAGGTTGGCAGAGCCCATATCCTGGCTGCAAATGACACAATACTAAGCTTGACTTTATCCACCAGGGAACCTCTGCTGGGTTTAAAGCAGGGAGGGACAGAGGCATATTTCTGGTTTAGAAAGGTCACCTGGTAGCAGGTGGGAAGAAAGGGCTAGAGATGAGAATCCAGGAGGGCAAGTGAGAAGGAGGAGCAGGTAGCCTGAGAGCTCTTCAGGGGAAAGGAAGATGTGGGAAAGGGAGGGACAAGCTTCTGCCTGGATGAGAAGGAGCCCTCCCCCTCTACACACACCATGAGGCAGCCTTTAGGGGGAGATAATGCATTCAGGTTGGACTCTGAGAACCCCATGTGCCTATGAAACATAGGGGGGACCATCCAGCAGGTGGAAATTTGGATCCAGACTTAAGAGAGAGAGGTCTGGGTTCTAGAGCAGGAAGGGGGGAGGGCATGGGATGGGGTAGGGGGTGGGAGAGGAGTGAGCCTCAGGCTGGGGATGGGAATGCTGCAGGGGGCTCCTATGCCAGTTGAGGGAGTTGAGGGTCAGGCAGAGCTGGATGCCCACCCCGGAGCTGGTGGTACTATCCTCTGAGCACATGCTGTTGGCACAGTGGTTCTCATGGAGCTGCTCTATCCTCATTGCACCCTCGCTTCTCTGTCTTCTCCTCAGCTGCTCTGTCCCCACTGGCAATTCTGGAGGAAGGAAACCCCTGCTGCGCATACAGGGCCTCAGGTAAGTCTGAGTAGTGGCAACAGTGCACCTGAGCTGATCCTGGGTTCTAGCAAGGCCAGAGGAAGAGCAGGGGAGAAGATGAAGGGGAAGCAAGGTTGCCTTAATCATCAGCAGCAGAGCAGCGCTCTGGTGGGCTGAGAAGGAGAAAGGACAGGTGGGAGATGTGGTGATGCCACTGGGAGGGAAGGATGGAGCAGGGAGGAGTCTGAAGAAGCGCATGCACCAGGCTAGAGATGGGTGAGTGAGTGGCAAGGGGAAGACGTGGTAAAAGAGGAATGCAGGAGGCCCCCTCCCCCATCTGGGCTCTGGAACCTGTGTTCCCTGCTGCCATTGGGGTGGGCTTATGTGACAGGGGAAGCATCTGTGTGGACAGATGCAGGCAGGTCTGCTGGGGCCTCCCCATGAGTCTAGCACTCACAACAAGAATCCTCAGTGTCTGGTTGACCCGGAGGCCCAGGCCCAGGCTCCGGGCTCCCACCACAGAGATGCGGTTGTTGCTGCAACAGAAAAACATGTGCATTGTGCTATCTTCCGTGTAGCAGCACAGAGCCGGACTGTCCCAGGATCCAGCTGGCCCCTCTGGTGCATCCTCTAGGTAGGGTTTCAACCCTAGCCTCCATTCATGCTCTGGGGACCCTGAGCAGGGCAGGGTGTGAAAGCTGGATAGCGATCCTCCTTCGTTGGAGGCTCCTAGCATTCAGAGAGATCACCCAGCAGACATACTTGGAGAGGTTCTCTCCCTGCCCCCCAGCTGTTGCTCCTTGGCCCTCAGAGCTCAGCAGGTGTTCTCAGAGCTGGCCCCCAGTACCTATCATCATGACGGCTGTTTCGGAAAACCACCCAGCTCCCTCCCCATGTCCTCTCCTCCTCCTCTTGCTGGACCTCAGCATGGCACTTTCTCTCTGGAGCCAGTCCCATTTCTTTCTGACTTCTCAGGCACCAGCTCTGGCCTCAAATGTCAGCATCTCTCATGGACTCCTCTGGCCTTGGCTCCTTACACGGGAAGGAAGGGAGGGAAGGACTACAGCAGACAGGCCCTGCTCAGTCTGCAGCTCCTGGGAGGGGCTCAGCCCTGGCAGCCCCAGCATGACCTGTCAGGCTTCTGTCCCTCTCTTTCCCTCTGGACTTGTGGCCCCTCCTCTGGTTACCTACCGAGGGCTGAGAGTCTGCCTGGGCGGGGAGGAGCAGCACACACTGCAGGCCCCCCCCGCAACAGCCACGTGCTGAGGAGAGCATGCATGTGGACCCACTTATCAGAGTCAGCTCCTCTTCTGAAAGGGAGGAAAACTCACACAGAGCACCCAGCCCACACCAGGCTCTGCTGAGGAGACTTTTCATACACTTGCAATTCCCAGCCCCTGCCTGTGTGGTAGGAATTATGAGCCCAGAGTATAAGTGATGACCTTGAATGAGAGGATGGAGCTAGGTGCTCCTGGATTGTGGCTCAAGCCCATCATAGACTGTTGATCAGTTTGGGAATTGAAATGGTGAACAGCAGCAAGATCACGGAGCCCCTGGTCCCTAGGGTGGCTATGGGCCCCGAGACTGTGACATGGGGGGCACCCCGTGCTCCTCACCTCATGTTGAGTTCCTCCAACACATTGTTGGTCCGAAGTGCCTCACCCACTGCAGAGGCTCCAGGGTCTCCAAAGCCATTGTATGAGATGTCCAGGACTCTCAGGAAGATGTTTGCCTGGGATACAAAAGAGCAAAGCCATGGGACCACAAGCGACAGTGGAGAAAGCCAGAGCCACAGCCTTTGAGCCCAGGACACCCGGGGTGTGCAGAGCATAGACTGAGAGCAGGACAGAGGTTCCAGGGAAGTCTCGGGGCTTGGATGATGGTGACCAGTAGAGCAGAACGACCGAACAGTGGAGAAAGCCAGAGCCACAGCCTTCGAGCCCAGGACACCCGGGGTGCAGAGCACCGACTGAGAGCAGGACAGAGGTTCCAGGGAAGTCTCAGGGCTTGGATGATGGTGACCAGTAGAGCAGAACGACCGGAAGCACAGCATAGAGGGTGGGTGTGGGCGTGAATGCAGACCCCAGAGACACAGTGAGCAGGCCCCATGCTTGCTTGGGGACCTCTTGAGGGCAGGTACCCCAAGGCACAGAGCAGCTCAGGGGCCTAGAGTTGGGTGAAACCTGCCCAGGGGGCTATGATGGGGAGAAGGACAGGAGCTTGTGGGGATGCTGTGAAGACAGACCTGTCACCTTGTGGGGAAGGACCCCAGCTCAGCCCCTGTTGGAGCGCAAGACAGCAGCTGCCATTCCCTGAAGAGGACCCCCAAAAGAGCTGACACAGAGGGCATTACAGGCATTTTGTGCCACCCTGGAAGAGACTGCAGCCACCCATTCCTCAGGCCTTTGGACCACAACCATGGGAGCAAGTGGCTTGTTAGAATGTGTGCTGGGATCTAACCGTGTCACTCAAAGAAGCACCTGTGTATGCCCCATAGAGAGCATGTGTCCCCCACCATGGAGAGTCTGTGATGTCTGGGGAAGGTGTGTAGTAATCAGCTGCGGATTCCTCAGTAAATGACGTGAGACTGGGCACAGTGTACTGAAGTCATAAAATGGGTCTGGAAAAATGAAAGACCCCTAACAAAATATCCCTTAAGCTCTGCTTAAAAGGTCCAAGCCTCTTCTCTGAAGAGCTGCAATGATGGGGAGCTGCTCCCTAGGAGACCTGCCTTCAAGGGACAGGCTGGCTGTGGGGTGGGTGGGGGCCTCATACCCCCAGTCCTCTGGCAAAGGAGACAGCGCCTGGGCCTCGAAGATGATTCCAGCTTAGGTTAAGCTCGGTGAGTCCTGTGTTTTCTGCCAAGGCTGGTCCAAGCGTCTCCCCTTCCGAAACACCAAGACAGACCTTCTTATTCACTCTGTACACCCCTTCAAAAAATGATACTGATGCCCGCTGTGTGGCAGGGTCTCTGCTAGGCATGAGGATCACAGAGTTGAACCCAACATGGGCTTGCCCTGCCCCCAAGGATTTCATATTTAATGGGGGAGGGATAAGTACAAATGAATGGGAAGGGAACTATTCTAAACTACAAACAGGAGGCATAGGAACAGAATGGGGGCTGACCCTATTTGTGGGGAGGTCAGGACAGTGAGGACAGAGGCGATAACCTTGAATGTCTGCACACATAGAGGAGAGCAGACAAGGAAAGACCAAATGTACACAGGGGGCATGGGGCACTGGTGGAAATGCACGCAGGCCTGGCACTGGGCAGGGTGAGGGGAAGCCAGTGAAATGAGGTAGGAGTGATGGGCAACTAAGAGATGCTAAGAGGCCTTGAATGTTAGGCCAAGAGTCTTGGGCACTGCCCTATCATTGGTGAGGAGGCAGGGAGGGCTTTAAGAAGTGACAAGGCTGACCCTGGCCAGTTTAGCTCAGTGGATAGAGATTTGGCCTGCGGACTGAAGGGTCCTGAGTTCAAATTTGGTCAAGGGCATGTACCTCAGTTGCAGGCTTCTACCTGGCCCGGGCCCTGGTCAGGGTGTGTGCAGGAGGCAACCAATCAATGTGTTTCTCTCATATTGATGTTTCTCTCTTTCTTTCCCTCTCTTTTCCACTCTCTCTGAAAATCAATGGAAAAATATCCTCAGGTGAGAATTAAAACACACACACACACACACAACAACAGCCTGGGGGGGTGGTGACAAGGCTGGATTCCTTAGTGGGTGTAGGGAGTGGACTAGGGTTGGCGGGGGCAAATATGAGAGGGTGAGGGACTAGTTGAAAGCCTGATGCCATGGTCTAGGCTAGAGGTGACAAGACTGGCACAGTTGTAGTGGAGAGAAGGCGGTGGTGGTAGAGAAAGGAAACGGTGGAGGGCGGTGTGTAGAGTGAGAAACCCTAAAAGATATTTCGTATGTTAAGTGGACAGAAGCCCTAGCCACCCGCCCACCCCGCTCTACACTCTGTGGACACTCAACCAGTCTGACCTCTTCTGGGTCTCAAAAGTGCCAGCACCAACTCCCCTCCTGGCTGTCTCCTGCGTGGAACTGCTGATCTCCCTCTTCACCTGGCTAACAGCTCCTTGTCCTGAGCTCTTAGCATTAGAAAGCCTTTCCTGCCCACTGGGCTGGGCCACCTTGGGCCTCGTGTTGACAGCTTTCATCCTTCCAGGCTCTCTGCCTAGTGTGTCTCCCCCATCAGCTTGGGAGTCCCACAGGGATCTTAATTTGACCCCTCTCCATGGTCCCCACAGGTCTAGTAAGGCTGGGTTGAAGAAATGCACAGATGAAAAAAGATGAACTGAGCAGAGCGCTCAGCCAGAACACTGGCCAGCAGACCCTGTAGCACCTTGGAGAGCAACTGAGAGACAGCAAAGACTCCTTGTACTACGTGTGCTGGGATTCCAGACCCCACCCAGGACTGGGTTTGACTCCTGCAGGTATGCAGGTTCTTAGATATGGTACTTTCCTCTTCTTCAGACACTTCCAGGGCTGGGAGGAGAGGGCGGTGGTCCCTCATGTTGTAGGGAAGCCCCTACTTTGTTGAACAGCTGGGGGGTGAGAATTTTCTTCTACACCCATGTATGAATTGACTTCTTGTAGTTCCAATGCGACCATTACCATGGGTGCTGAGAGACAGCAAAGATTCCTTGAACTACCTCCCTGAGAACAGGATTCCAGACCCCACCCAGGACTGGGTCTGACTCCTGCAGGTATGCAGGTTCTCAGATATGGTACTTTCCTCTTCTTCAGACACTTGCAGGGCTGGGAGGAGAGGGTGGTGGTCCCTCATGTTGTAGGGAAGCCCCCACTTTGTTGAACGGCTGGGGGGTGGGAAGTTTCTTCTACACCCATGTATGAACTGACTTCTTGTAGTTCCAATGCGACCATTACCATGGGTCATGTGGGGAGACTGAGGCCCAAGCTCCTTCACCCCTCAAGGGAGTCAGATCCTTTCTCAGGGGAACAAATGACCCCACTATGTCTGTCCTCTTCCAAGCTGGGGACCCAGCTCCATATATGTGTAGCTTTTGCAGGGCCTTAGCTTCCGGCCCCCTCCATCCCGGCCACCTTTCTGGTGCAGGCCCAGAGGGATGCCTATGTTTAGTTTGTTGAAAGTCTGAAATGAGTTTCTCTTTTGATGTTACTGGCTTCTCACAATACTTTCCTTAGAAGGCAAACTGACATTCTGGCCGTTAAATTCTAAAATGACCCCACTATGTCTGTCCTTTTCCAAGCTGGGGACCCAGCTCCATATTTGTGTAGCCTTTGCAGGGCCTTAGCTTCCAGCCCCCTCCATCCTGTCCACCTTTCTGGTGCTTGCCCTCTGACCGTGCAGGCCCAGAGGGATGCCTATATTTAATGTGTTGAAAGTCTGAAATGAGTTTCTCTTTTGATTTCACTGGCTTCTCATAATAATTTTCTTAGAAGGCAAACTGACATTCTGGCCGTTAAATTCTAGGGCTGTTTCTCACAGGCCAAGGCTGTGCCACCCCACTCACTCTAAGCAGCTTGAGACAGAGCAGTGATTCCCAAACTTTCTGGACCAGACAAATCTGGTCTTCCAGTAAAGACGCAGATGCATCCCCTCCCCCTAAGTCTGGTTCAGCAGGTGCCCAGGGATCTGTATTCCTAACCCAGGGTCCCAGGGGATTCTTATAATTTATTGGAGTGGTTGGGGGCAGGCAGGTCAAATGCCATGTTCTTGGCAAAGCAGACAGCCCATGCAATGGCCCTGGAGCATGAGAGAAAGCAGTAAGGCCAAGGAATCTCACTGATGCCTTCCACAGCACTTAGAATAAAATCTTCATGCCTTTTGCCATGTTTTGCAGCCCTTCAGCCCCCTGTTGCCTCTCTATCCCACGGCCTAGCCACTCTCCCCTGGCTCACTGATGTCTGCCAGTCTGGGTAATAGGCCTGCATGTTTATTGTCCTTCTGCTTGAAGTGCTCTCCCTCTGACCTTTCCATGGCTGATTTTTTTACAGAGAGGAAGGGAGAGAGATAGAGAGTTAGAAACATCGATGAGAGAGAAACATTTTCAGGCAAGTCAAATGCCATGTTCTGGGCAAAGCAGACAGCCCATGCAAAGGCCCTGGAGCAGGAGAGAAAGCAGTAAGGCCAAGGAATCTCACTGATGCCCCTGTGAGAAACTCACTGTGAGCAGCTTGAGACAGAGCAGTGATTCTCAAACTTTCTGGACCAGACAAATCTCCTGGTCTTCCAGTAAAGACGCAGATGCCCCCCCCCCCCCAAGTCTGGTTCAGCAGGTGCCCAGGGATCTGTATTCCTAACCCAGGGTCCCAGGGGATTCTTATAATTTATTGGAGTGGTTGGGGGCAGGCAGGTCAAATGCCATGTTCTTGGCAAAGCAGACAGCCCATGCAATGGCCCTGGAGCAGGAGAGAAAGCAGTAAGGCCAAGGAATCTCACTGATGCCTTCCACAGCACTTAGAATAAAATCTTCATGCCTTTTGCCATGTTTTGTAGGCCTTCAGCCCGCTGTTGCCTCTCTATCCCACGGCCTAGCCACTCTCCCCTGGCTCACTGATGTCTGCCAGTCTGGGTAATAGGCCTGCATGTTTATTGTCCTTCTGCATGAAATGCTCTCCCTCTGATTTTTCCATGGCTGATTCCTCCCCACCCTGCTCATTTCAATTTAAATGTCATCTCTGCACAGAGGCCACCTCGGCCACCCCTCTAATGGGTGGTTCCCATTCTTCTCTAGAATCATGCCCTGTTTGTTTCTTTTGTAGCACCAATAATTATGGAGAGTTATCTTGTTAATATGTGTTCCTTGAGGCCAGGGCCTTTGTTTTGTTCATGGCTAGATTCTTAGTGGCCCAATCAGCTCCCAACACATGCAGCAGCAAGCAGTGAGATATTCGTGGAGCGGATTAAGAGTCCTGTGTGGAAGGAGTGGGAAAGGGGCAGGTCTCTGTGGGACCTGGGGAGCAGGAGCCAGAGCATGGATGCTCAGATGGGTCCTGCCAACCTCCACCCACCTCTGCCCCAGGAAGAGGAGCTCAAGTGTCTCATGGTGGCCTTGGCCGGGTATTACCTGCTTGGTCATTTAGCTGGTTATAGCTCAGGTCCAGGGACTTCAGGCCCGTGTGGGCCAGCAGGAGTTCAGCAAGGTACTGGGCTGCCTGCTCCTCCAGGCTGTTCCCTGCCAGCTGTACCTTCTGTATGGCAGGGTTTGCCATGAGGGCAGCGCAGACGGCCTGGGCTCCCACCGCTCCCAGCTGGTTCTCCGACAGGTCCACATCTGGGGGTTGGCACCACTCCTGTCAGTGGAATCCAAAGCCAGGCGCCATCCTCCTCCACCCTATTTCATCCCCTAAACCTCCAGGTCTGAGGTGACAAAGGGGCTTTGTAGCTGTACTGTCCAGGGAGTTGCTACGGCTGTGCATGGCGACTCCGGCACCTATCAGATGGGTTTTCTCAGGCCCCGGGTAGCTTCCCTGATGCCCATTCCCACCCCATGTGTCCATGAGCTTCTTTGTCAAGGGGCTAAAACCACCTACTTCCTGTTGCTATGGAGAATGCCCGTGATGGAGATGTGGCCACCCTGTTAATCATTTGAGCCTGGTAGTAATACAGGCCCCCCCACACCCTGAAGCTCTCACTGCCATATTTCTGGGGACTGACAATTATTGTCTAAGTGGTCATGCTCAGAGCACCTATGTGGGCCAGACACTCATCACTTATGTGGGCCACATGCAGTTTCACTGATTCTCACCACATCTCCAAAGTCTAAGTGGTATTGTTGTGCCATTTCACAGATTGGAAATTGAGGCTCAACAAGGTTGAGCTTCTTGCCCAGGGTCACCCTTCTTATTAATGGCAGAGGCAGCATTTGGATCCAGTCCCACCAAACACCCACCCAACCCTCCCTCCTCTCACCCTGCCTAGCCCCTACCTGTGTGTCAAAGGACTCTCCCACCTGCACTCAGGCACTGGGAGGCCACCACATGAAGAGTGTGCTGGCCAGGGGAGGAGGTGAGTGGGTGGCGTGGGGTTGGTCAGGAAAGGAGTGGCATCAGCTTTGGGTGAACCACAGAAGGCCTAACTCCACCGTTATGATGAGGTCTCCTCCCCAGCAACACCAGCAGGTCCCAGGTGAGAAGCTCTGGGGGCAGGGTACACCCCTCAGAAAAGGGAGGACTCAAGCCTGCCCACCTACCACAGATGCTGCTGCTTTTGCTCATGGCGTGCGCCAGGGCCTCTGCACCAGCCCCACGGAGCCCGTTGTCCCGAAGGTCCAGCCGCTTGACATAGGGATTGGAGGATAGTGCAGGAGCCAGAGCCCGGGCCCCCTAGGACAGAGAGGGGCCTGAAAGGCCTGATTCTTCCCCGGGCTGAAGGCCCCAGACGTAGATAGCTGCTACCTTGGCTCATGTTTCCAGGGCTCAGCCCACTTGGTGCCTTCCAGCTGGAAGGCCCTCCCTTTTCCACGTGCCCAGGGACACCTGCTTCTCGTTCTAGGCTCCACCTAGATCCCACCTCCTGGAGACTTTCCTGATTCCCCCTCTCCAGCAGGCTAGGTGCCCACTGCAGGCTCCCCCAGCCCTGATTGAATTCTTTCAAAGCCCTGATCCCACCTGTCACCCACCTGTGAGGGTGGGACATCCCTGGGACAGGCTCAGGAAAGGGGCTACACCCATGGCTGCTGCCTCCCAGGTCCTGTCCCTACAAGCCTGGCCCCAAGGTCCCTCCAGGGTTACCTGGGGCCCCAGGCCACGGTGCCGCAGATTCAGCTCTGGGGCTCTCCCTTGGCGCAGAAAGCAGGAAACGGGCATGGCACCGTGGGCCCGGCAAGACCTCAGGTAGAGCGTGTCCTTGACCAGTTCTCTGAGCCCATGGGTGCCTAGAAGGAGACAGAGAGAAGAATGTGGATCCCTCTTCAGGCACAGCCAGCCACCTTCCAAGGGTTCCCCTGTCCTCTGTCACCACCCAGCATTTCACTCTGCAGCGTGTTCTAACAGTGGAGCTTCTGATGCCCCAGGAGCATTGTAGGGAAGGCACAGGGAGTTGCCGCCACCGGCTCTGCTGAAGGTGTCCCACAGAGGGATGAGCTCCCTGCTCTGCTGGACAAGGGCCCCTGCCCACTTGATCCCAGCCTGTCCCTCCCACTCCTGCCGAAGAAGCCCCAAAGGTGAGACCGGCCTAGCAGGCCCTGCCCAGAGGCACCTTCCGTCTCCAGGTTAGAGTCCGAATCTGAGTCTGAATCCTCAGCCTTCGGGACCCCTGCAGGACGCCCAGCCGCCGTAGCCGCCGCCGCCACCTCTTTCTCCTGTTCTTCACTCTCCCCAGACTTCTCGCAGGGACCCCTCATGGTTACATCCATTTTGCATTTGCGGGCACCAATGTCAGGACTACACACACAACATCATTAGCCAGGGAATTTGGGCGGACCCTCCGACTTCACCAACCAATTGCATGTGGTGTGCAGCAAACAGGCTTCCGTTGCAGCAAATAGAGACCCACGCAGTCACCCGGGCAACCTGGTGTTGTTGGTTGCTGCAGAAACCGCCTCTAGTCTGCTCTGAACTTGAGTCTGCTCTTAGCTAGGCGGACAAGACCTTGAGTGCAAGGGGGATGGAGGGTGGGGGGCGCTTTGTGGGTGCTTCTTCTCCCTGCCATCTTACGGGTTCCAGCATCGCCCCCTCCCACGGCTGGGGGAGGTTCCTGACTCTGGGCTGTTAGTTCCTGCGTTGGGGGATGTGGGCAGTTTGTGAGGAGGGCATTACACAGGAAGGCTTGGGGAACCTTGCAGAGCCTGGCCACCCTCCTCTCGAGCCAGTCACGCTCTCTGTGGTCCCAGTTCTTTCATGCTCTAGCGTCGTATATGCAGCTTCCTCCACCAGGAACGTTCCTCCCCAACTTGGTTGAACTTCAGAATCTTCAAGTGTGGGTTCAGAGGTCACTTCTTTCTGAAGCTTTCCTTGGCCCTTCCTCTGGACCCCTGCAACCCCCAGTACCTCTCACGGTACCTATACCACCTATCAATCATCCCCTCATCACCCAAGGAAGTGAGGCCAGAGGGCAGGGGACAGGGGCTGCTCCTCTCTGTGTGCCCAGGGTCTGGCAGAGGGAGTCTGGAGAGGCCCAGGGCAGCTGGGGGTTGGGACTGAACCCATGATTGGGAGGTGAGAGGGGAGGCTGGATCCTGACCCGAGTGGATCCTGTCCCTTTAATAGCTGCTGGCCAGGTCCTTCTTGGGCTCCTGCTTTATCTCCTGTTCAGCTGTGACTGCAGCTGCTCTGCTGACTCATGTGCCCCAGCAGCCAGCAGGAGCTGGGAGCATGGGCTCCCCAGGGCCCTTGGCAGACTGGGGGCTTCTGGATTACAAGACCGAGAAGTATGTGATGACTAAGAACTGGCGGGTGGGCGTCCTGCAGAGGCTGCTGCAGCTCGGGGCTGTGGTCTACGTGGTAGGGTAAGAGAGCGGCTCCTGGCCACGTTGGCTGAAGGACCATGACTGTCCTGCTGGGCTGAGGGTTGAGGGTTTGATTCTTCAGGGGCCGGGCTGGTGGTAGTGGAGGCCGGGGCAGGTTGGGACAGGGTAGTGGGTAGGCAGAGGAAGGATTTCTGTCTGTATAGGGGCCAGTGGGTGCAAGAATAAGCCGTGTGCCCACCTGCCTCTTTTCCTGAGCCCCATGTTGGGCTCTGGGCACAGAGTAGGATGGGCTCCACCACTTGCCCATGAGGCCCTGGGCAGGGCAGGATGTAGCCCCTGACACTTGTGAGAGCTAGAATACTAAGGCCCCCGATAGAATACTAAGATTCCCCTGACTCACCAGTTCTGGCTCGGTCAGAGGAATCTTTAAGGAGGAAGCTGGGTCTAGCTGGGGCAAGGGGAGGGTTTTGGCTGGTGAAAGAATTGGTAGGGGACATCTCCAAACCCATGAGTGCCTAATAGGAGACACCATGTGGGCACTGGGTCTCCAATGCATGGACTGTGCTTCTGGCCTGTGCAGGGTGTTGGGGGGGGGGGGGGCGCAATGGGGATGAGCATGGAGAGGAAGTATGGGACTTGAGTGATGTTCTGGGAGCCTACAGGGTGTGAGGGAGGAGGCTGAGAAAGTAGGGCCCAGCTCGGCCACTGCTCACAGCGTGCCAGGGACACACCATACTGCCCATTGCTCCTCCCCAGGTGGGCCCTCCTCGTCAAGAAAGGCTACCAGGAACAGGACCTGGACCCCCAGATTTCCGTTATCACCAAACTCAAAGGCGTTTCTGTGGCCCAGATCAAGGAGCTGGGGAGTCGGCTGTGGGATGTGGCTGACTTCGTGAAGCCGGCGCAGGTGGGTGCCTCAGTGCTGTCGCCAGGTGCTGACACCTGAGACCACCGTCGCAGCACACGTGTGCAAGAGAGGCATTGATGCCGGACGGGGTGATGACAGCTGGCGCTGTCACAGGGCTGGGCTCGGGAAGGGCCTTACAGGGGAGAGGCACCTGGACAGGGCTATGGGATGTGTAAGAGGTTTCCAGGTGACTGAGAGGAGGGCTCAGGAAGCCAGGCCAGGGGCAGTACATTTACAAAGGCTGCATCTGGAAGAGTGGAATGTCTGGGAACTTGACATTGAGCTTGAGCTTGAGGGTGGGGTGGGAAGAGCATGGGGGGCCAGGCCCTGGAACTTCCTGTATGCCTGCCTCCCTGACCTGGGGGGCTGCTGCCAGGCCCTCCTCTGCTACCCCTCCTACACTGCATTTCTGGCCGCTTCTCCTACCCAGATTGTCTACAGTCTGCTTCCACCTCTGTCCTGCTGATGCCCAAATTGTATCCCCAGTGACACCTGCCCCGAGCACAGTTGCCTCCTGGGTGCTCACCCACCATGTCCAAAGAAAAATCATCTTCCTCTCCCCGGTGGCCTCTTTTCATCCACCAGTGCAAAAGCTGGACGCAGCTTGACCCCTTCCTGCCCCCACCCCAGCCTGTCCATCGCCGAACAGTTTTCACTGCTGCTCAGGCCACACCTGGATGAGGCTGTGGTCTTCTAGTGGGTCCCAGGTGCACACGCAGCAGTCAGGCTGAGCTTCCACAGGTGACATCATCAGAGCTTGCCAGCCCTTGCTTCCCACCCTGGGGAGTCTCCCTGTCCATGATGGTAGCCACCAAGTCCCTCCAGATCCTGACCGCTGTCATAGACCTCTGCCCAGCCCTTGCCTCCCCTTCCTGGGTGTACATTCCCCCGAATTCACAGAGCGCTTATGCTCAGCACACGGGTGCCAGCCACTCTTCCTGTCCTTGGCCGCCATTTGCCCAGGCAGAGCTCACCACCTGCTACCCTGGCCCTTGGCCATGCGTGCAATGAGGGGCCTGCCTTCCGACCAGCTGGGCATGTGCCCGGCCCAACTCTGTTCTAGATGTTTAGTGCCTGGAAACAAGAGCTCCTAGAAAATTCTGGTTAAGGGAATGAGCGTGAACATGAAAAATACACTTGTCTCAAAGAGGCAGACATGGGCTCAGAAATGGCCAGAAACCCAGCTAGCCTCCCATCTCTCCTTCAATGTGCCTCCCTGGAGGCATTGTCCTGGGCACAGGGCTCCTTCCCTCACACACCAAGCTGCCAGCTTCTGTCCCCTCCCACTGAGGGAGCCATGTCGCAAACCCTGACATTTGCCTTCTAGGGGGAGAATGTGTTCTTCTTGGTGACCAACTTCCTTGTGACGCCAGAACAAGTTCAGGGCAGGTGCCCAGAGGTAAGGTTGCCCCGGAGACTTCCAGTGGTTCCCAGTTCCTCTTCCAGCCCTGGGTCCCCAGCCATGTCCTCCCTTCTCCTTCCCAGGGTGCCTGAGGGCTCAGTATGTAGTACTGTATTCCAGGCACTGGGATTAAAATTTTCTGTGAATCATTTCACATAGTTTTTACAAAAAACTGGTAGGAATTACTGCAATTCCTCCCAGCCTGTGGGTGACAGGACTCTGGACTTCTGGGAAGTATGCTTCCAGAACCTTCCACCGTCATTCTCTGTGGGATATCCAGGCCCCTCTCCATCCTGATTCTGCCTCTGGGCACTTCCCTATTGTCAGTGGGACGCCAGGAGCTGGGCACCATGCTAAGGTGGGCTCTAACAGCAAGAACCAAGCTGGGAGATCACCTCCCCTTCTCTGTGCCCAGCCTCTAGTGGTGTGTCCCCAGGCAGTTTTCATTGTTGTGGGCAAGCAGAGCATACTCTTGCTTATGAGTTCAGGCTCATGCCCTGACCAGAAATTGAATCTGCAATCCTTCTGTGCACATGATAATGCCCAACCAACTGAGCTATACCGGCCAGGGCTTATCTTAACCATTTTAAAAAAATTTTATTTTTATTTTTATTGACTTTTTACAGAGAGGAAGGGAGAGGGATAGAGAGTTAGAAACATCGATGAGAGAGAAACATCGATCAGCTGCCTCCTGCACACTCTCTACTGGGGATGTGCCCGCAACCTAGGTACATGCCCTTGACCAGAATCAAACCCGGGACCCTTGAGTCTGCAGGCTGAAGCTCTATCCACTGAGCCAAACCAGTGAGGGCTATCTTAACCATTTTTAAGTGTACGGTTCCCCAGCTATAAATTTTGTTTGAACAATTGGGACCCAGGACATAACTCGGGAAACCTACCTCCATGGTGACAACTTCCTTTAATTGAGTCCAACGTTGAATTGCTTGCTGGACTGTGTGCTCATCTGTCCCTTGATCCCTGGATGTCGGTCCCACCACAGTTGCCAAGGGTACCATATGTCCCTGGCTGGCCCTGCTCTCAAAGAAGGGGAGTCACGTGCACAAAGGATGTGCTAATGCTTGCGAAGCACACACGATGTCCTTCCCTCTCTGATGCTCAGAAGACATCTATTTAATGTTCAATTTATCGCCTATTCTGATTTTTGCTGCGGCCATGGTTCTGTGTTTTCTGGAATCCGTGTGATTCCTCTTTGCCCATGTCCTGGCGTTTGGCCCTTCCTAAGAAACTGCCAGGGCAGAGCATTCATTTGATCTGAAAACCCAGCTTCCTGAGACGAGCCAGAGTTCCTGCCAGCTCTTCTCAGGAGTCCTGGCCATCTGGTCCCTCCGAGCATATGTACTGTGCTCCTTCGGCAAACACCTGCCAAGCCAACCCCTAGGCCAGGCCCTGTGCTGGTCTTGAAAAGCTCTGCCCCTGTACTTCAAGAAACTCCTGCACAGACAGCCCCGCCAAAGTGGCTGTCCTGTGATGAGGACAGATGCTGCAGCTGGGGGACCAGGGGAGGCGCTTCTGCCTGAGGCCTCAGGAAGGGTTTCCCGTGGGACTGGAGGCTCAGGTGGGATCTTAAAGATGTCCGGGCAGAGGGCTGTGTGGATAAGGACCTGAGCTGTGTGAGGTGAGGCAGCTCCAGAGTCATTTGCTGCTGAGTGGCTCTGGGGCCTAGACTTGGACTGGGGTGGGAAGGGGTGGCCCGAGATCTCAGGGGCCCTGTGAACTAAGGAGGTGAATTCCATCACAGGAGCGGCAGGCAGCCAGGGAGGGCTGGGGAGGGGTACTCCATCTTCTCTCCATGGCATGGACCACTCCAGTTGCTGGGTGGAGGTGGATGAGGTCAGAGGCAAGACCCGGTGGTGGTCACCATGGGGTCCAATTGGAGGACATGGTGGCCCAGCCAGGGTGGAGGAGAGGGGCAGACTCAGGACACAGGTAGGGACAACGGGGCAGAACAAGTGGCCCCACACTGTCCTCTGCCCACTTAGCACAGTCCCACCCCCCAAAAGTCCCATCATCTCATTTGGCTTCTCAGAATCCCCAAGCCCTTCCTTGACACTGTGTTCTTCCTGCTGCCCCTGAGCTGGGTGCCCTGGACAGTGGTGTCCATCATCTGCCCCAGCAGAACGTGTCTGTGCAAGTGCCTGATGCTCAAGGGTACCTTCCTCTCCAGGGTTTGGGACCCCAAGAAAGCTCACCACTTTCCCCTCCTGGCTGATCTCAAGTCTGTGACGGTGTGCCTGCATTAATATCCCTGTTTTTGTTTTAAAATATATTTTTATTGATTTCAGAGAGGAAGGGGGAGGAAGAGAGAGATAGAAACATCAATGATGAGAGGGAATTATTGATTGGCTGCCTCCTGCACATTGGTCTGAGCCTGCAACCCAGGCATGTGCCCTTGACTGGAATCGAACCTGGGACCCTTCGGTCCGCAGGCCGACACTCTATCCACTGAGCCAAACCAGCTAAGCTAATGTCCCTGTTTTATTGAAGAACAGGCAGGGAAGAGGCTAGCCTGTGAAGTCCTACTTCCCTACCCAGGCCCCTTGGATTAGGGTCCTGTCCTTTGTCTGCCACGCCCAGTGACTCCAGCATGACTGGGACCCCCAAGAAAGCTCACCTCTTTCCCCTCCTGGCTGATCCCAACTCTGTGACGGTGTGCCTGCATTAATGTCCCTGTTTTACTGAAGAACAGGCAGGGAAGGGTCTAGCCTGTGAGGTCCTACTTCCCTACCCAGGCCCCTTGGATTAGGGTCTGTCCTTTGTCTGCCACGCCCAGTGACTCCAGCATGAACTTACCCTTCCCAGGGTCCCTCCACCTTCCCTGCTGTGTGATCTGAATTGGGAATCAGAGGAGTTGGGCCTTGATAAACCACTTCTGTCCCCACCAGGGACAGAACTACCAGGAGGAAAGGAGTCTTGCCTTGCTTTGGAATACAGCACCTGCACCCCTCTGGTTGGGGGCTGCTCACCCTCCCTGCTCTGACCACTTCATTTTATTTGCACCTTCCAGCTTTTCCATGTGCCCCCAAACTCAGAGAACCCTGGGGGACTAAGGCGGGTGGGACAGGTCCCTGTGGACTGCAGGGCTGGATCACCCACTGGGCCCTTGACAACTCTGCTCTCACCCACCTCAGCACCCCTCCATCCCGCTGGCTAGCTGCTGGGCCCACGAAGACTGTCCTGAAGGGGAGACAGGGACACACAGCCATGGTAACCATGGGCCCAGTCTTCCAGTGCCTCTACTGGGAATGGGGCTGGGGGTGGGGTGGGGCAGGCTGTGCCCCTGGGTGGCTCCTGGGTACAGGCTTGGTGGTGCCTCTGTGTCTCTGTTTTGTCAATAGCCCCTTGTCCACCCATCCCCCACCTCAGGTCTAGAGTCTGTCTTGTGTTTTCAAGGCATAAAAACAGGCCAGTGTGTGGTGTTCAATGAGACCCACAGGACCTGTGAGATCCTGGGTTGGTGCCCAGTGGAGAGCGACACTGTGCCCACGTAAGTCTCCCCCAAATCCCAAGGCAGGGTGCCAGGACCAGCAGAGCCTGCCCCTCACCTCCCCCACCCCACAGGGAGCCCCTACTGGTCCAGGCCGAGAACTTTACACTGTTCATCAAAAACACCGTCACTTTCAGCAAGTTCAACTTCTCCAAGTAAGTATGGGTGAGTCCTGACGGGCCCAGACTCTCCTTATCACCATCCTGGCCTAACCTTCCCTCCCCACCCGCTCAGATCCAATGCCTTGGAGACCTGGGACAACACCTATTTCAAGCGCTGCCGATATGACCCCCGCTCCAGCCCCCACTGTCCGGTGTTCCGCATTGGGGACCTCGTGGCCGCAGCTGGAGGGGTCTTTGAGGACCTGGCCTTGCTGGTGGGTCTGTGGTGGGCAGGGTTCTGGGAGGACTCAGGGAGAGAGTCCCAGCCCATGTGACAGTGGAACATTGATGTGCTGTGTGCAGGGCGGTGCGATAAGCATCCATGTCCTCTGGGATTGCAACCTGGACACTGGGGGCTCTGACTGCCAACCCCACTACTCCTTCCAGCTGCAGCAGAGGAGCTACAATTTCAGGTGCTGCTGCCCCCGCCCCCAGTGCCACATGCTGCTCCTCAGCCAGGTGCACCTTCACCTGTCCTCCTGTGGAGGTCAGGACAGACCCCACCCCTGCCCAGCCCTCTGGATGCTCCGCTCTGTGTAAGAGGGCGGTCCCAGGAGCAGGAGGGGGTATTCTCAGCTCCAGGTCCCCCAGAACAGGCCCTGTCCAGCTGCCCTCCTGAGCTCTTCCCCCTTCACCCCATCTGTCCCCACACCTGGGTTATAACTGGGACCCCTCACCTCCAGCCCCTCCTCCACCCCACCCTGCCTCAGCATCTCCCCTCCACAGCACAGGGGGCTTCCTTTTTTACTTTTTCCTTAAGGTTTTATTTAAAAATTTTCTTAAATCTGTAGAAAAAGTTCAAAGATTAATATCATGAACACGTATATACTCTTCATCTGAGTTCACCAGAGTTTTTTATTTGTTTGTTGTTTTACCATTTGCCACATTTGCTTCTCCCTTCCTCTCTAGAATGAGCCAGATATACTAGTAATTAGAGAGATTTCAGATGCAACCTTTGAAAAGTAAGTGGCAGACACCTAGATACTCACTCACCCCTCTCAACACTGTGCTGAGAATGAGGACATTCCCTATGGGACGTTTCATGTTGTCACACTCAAAAACTTTAACATTGGCAGGCTCTGGCCAGTGTGCTCAATGGTTAGAGTGTTGCATTTCCCCCCCACACACACACACACTGAGGGGTTGTGGGGCTGATTCCCAGTCAAGGGCACATATCTGGCTTCACTGACCTCCCCAGCCCTTTGCAACTCTATGGGGCTGGCTCCCTGCCCACACCCTCCTCCCCTCATCTCTGTGCTCTCACTGGCCCTACTGTCTCTGCCTAGAACTCCTTTGAACCCCAAAACCCAGCCTGAAAGTCTCGCCTGCAGGAAGCCTTCCCCGTTTCCTAGGGGAGAGTGAGTTCCACCCTCTGGATGCTCACAACCCTGACCTGACCCCACCGCCACCCCCACTGCCAGTGTCTATTTAGAGACTCTTCTGTCTCGTCCCTGTGCCCTCAGAGGGCAGGGAGCTTCTGAGAGGCAGGTTCTGGTTTGCTTTTCCCCTGTGTCCTCAGCAGCGACACAGAGCTGAGACCCAGGATTTGGAGTCAATGGATGAGCAAGATGGAGGCTTGGGAGGGCCAGCCAGCTGGGAGTGGGCAGAGCAGGCCACCAGACTTTCTCTTGCCCACAGGACAGCCACTCACTGGTGGGAAGCCTCAGGTGTGGAGGCCCGGAGCCTGCTTAAACTCTATGGGATTCGCTTCGACGTCATCGTTACTGGGCAGGTAGGAGGGGCCAGGTGGGATGGGCAGAGCTGGGGTGGAAGGAGGCGACAATCATGGTCTGAGACTCAGCCCAGGTGTCTCTCAGGCAGGGAAGTTTGGGCTCATCCCCACGACCATCACTTTGGGCACCGGAGTAGCTTGGCTGGGCGTGGTGAGTGTGGCCAATGTGGGCTCCCTCTGGCTGCAGACTGCGCGTGCCCAGACCCGCCTGCATGCCCCCTGAGCCCCCTTTGCCTGCTGTTGAGTCTGGGAGTGAGGGTTGGGGAGGGTGGCAGGAGGGCAGGCTGGGGCCGGGACACGGGTCTACCCTGACTCTCCCAGATCACCTTCTTCTGTGACCTGCTGCTGCTGTACGTGGATGGAGAAGCCCATTTCTACTGGACAACCAAGTATGAGGAGGTGAGCAGTGGGCCTGCTCCGCCACCAGGTGCTGCTGCACTTGGAGGCTGTTGGCCAGAGCCCTGACCTAACGTCTTTGTCTGCAGGCAAAGGCCCCGAAGGTGACCGCCAGCCCTGAGCAAACAGAGCCGGCCTCTTCACCCCCGACCCAGGCTGCCCACGTGGCTTAGAGGCGGCCCAGCTCCTGCCCCAATGGTCACTGCTTTTGAGAGCCAGACGCTGATGCCAGGGTGGCCCTGCCCGGGCTCTGGCCCCCACTCGCTGGCCCATTCTTGAAGCCTGTAACCATTTCCTGTGGCTGCAAAGGGTGGGTCCCACCTAAGGGACCTCATGGATGAAGCCCCTGCAGAACCAGGGTGGGGCGTGTGGGGAGAATTCTACTGTCAACTCCTAGGCAGACTGTCCTTCCCCTGACTCCAGCTTTGGAGCAGTGCTGCCTGGGGAGTGACAGAAGCGTCAACTCCCAGGCAGACTGTCCTTCCCCTGACTCAGCTTTGGAGCAGTGCTGCCTGGGGAGTGACAGAAGCCAGTCTTGCATAGAGATCTGCAGTGGAACAGGAGCCGTGGAGAAGGGGAGAGCCCTGGGCACCGCATGGCAGGGCACTGGTCCGGTGGGGCTCTTGCTCTGTCTGTGTCTAGAGAACTTACTCCCAGGCTCTGTCCCCAGTGCTCCCAGCAGTGGCCCGCTCACCAGCTGCCAGCACTGACCCTCTCACAGACTGTAGCCAACTCCAGCCCTGCCTGGCTTCTAGCGCTCCTCCCCTTGCCAGCACCCCCGTCCCAGGCAGAGCCCCCACCCTCTCAGCGGTGCTGCACTGGGCGCTGCAGTGGCCCTGGGCAATCTCTCCTGTGCAATGGAACCACCCTCATACATTGGCGAGTGAGCGCATAGCTTTGGGGAATGTTCTGTGAATTGGAAAAACTCATGTTGGCTGTTCTGAGCCTGTAGCTATAGTCAGTGTTCAGAAAGGAGGCAAGCCGACTCCTGGGGACAACCCACTGGGGCACCTCAGATGCCAGTGGCAGCCCCTCCTAGCCTAGGAGTACCCGGTAGGCCTGGAGGACCCTGGGAACCACAACAGCAGCCTCCCATTCATGGATCATCAGTGAGAGGTACCTACCCCATGTCCTGAGCAGCTACTCCATGCCAGTCCGTGTCCCATCCCATGGCTTTCCCAACCTCCCCTCAGGCTTATTTATTCCTGGGGCTGAGGCCTCTTTGTCCTTCTGCTCTTCCCACTTAATTGAAAGTGAAAAAGTTGGTGTGACAATGTGTTAACTTGTTCACAGCAAAATGATGACAATCCATCCAAACAAAGCAAAACCAAAACAGATGTCCTCTTCCCCCAGAACTTCATACATGTCCTCAGGTTTATATGTGGTTTGTGGAATAGAATTTAGGGGCACCTGCAGCCTATCTGGCTCCATGGGATGCTGATAGGATGATAGGATAGTGGACTCCCAGACAAGATGGTGCCACCTGGAACACTGTGCCTTGGCCAGCCCCTTGGTCCCTTCTGATATTTGCCTGATGTTGTCTTGAGGAACTTCTTAAATGGAGAATCCCCCTTTCTGCAGGAATGACAATTCCCTTAACCTGCTCCCATGTGGCCTAAACATAAAATGTTCCTTATTCTGAAATGCCTTCACAAAAATCTAGAAAAAAATGCATTTCAAGCCAAGAGACTTGGGCAGTTTTGTGACAAGAGCTCCCCTAAAGCCTAACCAATGATCACCTGAGAGCCAGTGTGCACTGTTTTGGAGCACTGACTTTTTATCTAGCAGGAGAAGGGTTCTCACTCACAGGCAGCTACAGTGGATATACGAGGCCTAGCATGGATGGCACAGGGAAATGTAAACTTCCAGGGATATGGAGGGGCCAGTGCTGGGACCCCACTGAACAAGGCAGTTACACAGAGCAAACCCATGAAGATGTGATGACGCTAAAGCACATTGGAGAGGAAGAAGTAAACTATCTCTAGTCACAGATGACATGATCTTATGTATAGAAAATACTAAGGAATTCATACCAAAAATATCGAAACCAACAAGTTCAGCAAAGGTGCAGGCTACAAGATAAATAGACAAAAATCAGAGGATCTAATGTATAACATAATGCCTATAACACTGGGTTGTATAGTTTAAATTTGCTAAAGAGTGGAACTTAAATGTTCTCATGAAAAATTTTTAAGTAGATAAATGTGTGGGTGTTAATTAGATAGATGGGAAGAATCCTTTCAAAATGTGTACATATATCAAATCATGAGGTACACTTTAAATATCTTACAGGTTTTCCAGTTATACCTCAATAAAGCTGAAAAAATACAAAAATCGATTGTATTTCTCTACACTAGCAAAGAACTATGGAGAATGAAATTAAAATGATTCTGTTTACATAGCATCAAAAAGAATAAATTTATAAAGATACTTAGAATAATATGTCAATGATATCTCAATAAAGCTGAGAAAAAGAATAAATTTAACAAAACAAATGCAAGATTTGTACTCTGAGAACTACTTAACTTCGTTGGAAAAAAAATTTAAAAAGACCTAAATAAGTCGAAATGTTGGCAGTGAAAAGGCACCAGATTGGACCTTGGTTCAGCAACATCAGAACTTGAGTCCTGGCTAAGAGAGAATTCAGAGTCAAGACTCAAACTATAAAGTTTACTTAGAAAGTCACAGAGGTAGAAGTGAGCGTAGAAGAAATGGACTCAGGAAACAAGTTACAGAGGCAAAAGAAGGGCCCTTGGTGCATAGAAGATGAGAGAGAGAGAAAAGAGAGAGAGAGGTAAGGGGGTGGGGGAAGGTTTGGGCACGCCCTATAGAGATAGCCTCATTGGGTCCTCCATCTTGCGGGAATTTATCTGGAGGTTTCGGGAGGATCCCAATAGAATATGCATCAGCTTTCCAGCTGTGTCCTTTCAGGGTGGTGGTCTCTACTGATTGGCCAGGGCCACAGCAGGGGTCATTAGTCCATGCAGCTGCTCCCATGTCAGTCCTCATTGCTCTCTTTCCCTCTGCCTTTGTCTGTCTCCTACAGCTTCTGTCCTCTGGACACCCCTACCCCCAGCCCCACCCCTAGCCTGCTATTCTCCCCAGGCCAAATCCACCCCAAATGCTACCATTCAAAGCCCACCAGGATGTCGCCCCATATGACCTCTCCACGTTATCCCCATCACTCCTCCTCACGTCTGGCTTCCCAGCACTTCCTTCGTGCTGTTCTCAGTGCTGGCCATGGCAGTCCTGTCTGTCCCCATCTGCTCCAGTCCTGGCAGCAGGTGCATTTCTCCCTCCTGCCCCATTTCCCGTCAACCTCTGCCCAAGGCTGACCCTGCTGCCTTGCACTCCCTGTCAGGCCTCCCTGGAAAGAGCCCCATATTTGGTTTTCCAAACACCACCCCCTGGAAGCCCCAGCTAGCTGCCTAGCCCTCTAACCCCCAGACCACACTCTTTGAAATCTGCCAGAGGAAGGGCTGTGTGGGTAGCTGAAGAGTCGTCACACTGAATCCATAGTGTGTGTGAAGGCGTGTTTGCTTAAATCCAGACCATGTGAACTGCCACTGAGAACATCACCCCATGCCTCTATTGACCTAGCAATCTGTGTGTGTGTGTGTGTGTGTGTGTTTAAATATTACATCTGTGTGTTTTTTAAATATGTTTTTTAAAAATGGATTTGAGAGAGGAAAACAGCAATGAGATGGAACCCTCCATCGGCTGCCTCATTCACCCCAGCTGGGCATGTATTCTGAACCAGGAGTCCAACCAGTGACCTCTTGGTACACGGGACAGAGCTCAGCCCACTGAGCCACACTGGCCAGGGCGGTTTTGTTTTTGTTTTCATTTGCTTTAGCTCGTTCTTATATTCTCTGTATTGAACTCCGCTTTGGTCCTGCCTTCTCTAGGAAAGTTCTAGCTCGTTCAGATTGTGCTTAGATGAGCCAAGAGAAGGGGCTCTTTTCTCTGTGTGGTAAACACAGACTCATCCATGGACCAGCAGCAGGCAGGCAGGGAACTTGGAGCCAGAGGTGATCGGAGGGCTTCAGTCCCCCTTCCAGGAACCTTGGACATTCTGTGTGTCCCTTCACACGGTGTGTGAATGTGTGGGTAATCCCTGGGCCTCCTGCAATGACCACCTGTGGGGTTCCCTCCCCCATTCTCCTCCTGCTGCCATATGCCCCCCCACCCCCCCGCCCAGCCAATCTTCTCAATCTGGCTGCAATCACATCAGCCCCACCCAGAACCTCCAGGGTCACCCTTTACACCGCAGTCTAAGTGCCCAGCCGAACCTCCCTGCCCTCTGACCTCCTTGTTCCCCCGCCTGCCCCGCGCACCCCACCCATCCCCCTTTGCTCCTTGGGAAACGAGATGCTTTCCGCAAGACCCCGCCCAGATATCCCAATGCTCCTGGAAGGTGGACTTAACCCCTCGCTCCGCCCTAGAGCTTCCCAGCCCCTTCCTTCCCGGAGCTTATCCCTGGTCCACATCTTGCAGGAGTCCCATCACACAGGCTGGTCCCCTGACACCCTCTGGACTTTAAAACTCATGCCCTGGCCAGGTCGCTCAGTTGGTGAGACCATCGTCCTGATGTGTCAAGGTCGCAGGTTCGATCCCCAGTCAGGGCACATACACTTATCAACGAATGCATAAAAAAGTGGAACAACACATGGACATTTCTCGCTCACTAAAATCAGTCAATAAAAAATAAAGATACATTTTACCAGCCTCGGGTGCTAACATCAGCACCAGTAACAGGATGCTAACTGGATAGCCCTTGCAGGGATTGGCTCTAGAGCTTATGTCTGCAAAGGCCTGTCACCGTCGGCAGCCCTCATGACTTCTGACACCATGTGGAAAGGCTACGTTTTACCCATAAACACACAGAGCTCAGGAGGAGTGAGCCGCCGTGGAGGGGCCTCCACCCAAAGCAGGGGCTCCTCCTCCGCCCGCTGCCGCTGCCTGGCCGCATGGAGTCACCACTTCCCGCCCAAAGTGACGACCAATCAAAAAAGAGTTTCGGTCTCAAGAAAATAGCCAATCGCCATTGGAGTCCCCGGCTAAGGCCCGGCCCCCAGGGCAGTCAGAGCCAATGGCAATTGTGCGGATGGCGTGCCAATCAGGAGTCGCAGGTGGAGGGCGGGCAGTTGGGCGCGTGGCGTTGGACCGAGTGGACCGAGTGGAGGTGGGAGCACGGCTGAGGCCAGGCAGTGAGCGCCATGGTACGACGGGCCATGT